CGAAAATGCGACATTTGTGCTATCAGTAAAGGCCCTAAACTAAGATCTCGGGGGCCCATGAAACTGTACAACGTCGGTCTTCCATTTGAAAAAATAGCGATAGATGTAGCTGGACCGTTCCCAGAGTCAGAGCGTGGTAACAAATACTTCTTAGTTATCATGGATTACTTCAGTAAATGGCCAGAAGTTTTCGCTATTCCCAATCAAGAAGCCATTACTGTTGCCCAGGTGCTAGTAGACGAAGTTTTCAGTCGTCATGGTGTGCCACTAGAGTTGCATTCCGATCAGGGACGAAACTTCGAATCTGCCATATTTAAGAAAATTTGTGAGATCATGGGCATTCGTAAGACAAGGACAACACCTTTACACCCTCAATCTGATGGCATGGTGGAACGATTCAATAAGACCATAGAGGAACATCTGACAAAAGTGGTCGCAAGGAACCAGCGAGATTGGGACAAGCACTTGCCTCTATTTTTAATGGCTTACAAAGCAGCTGTTCACGATTCAACAGGTGAAAGTCCGGCTAGAATCGTTTTTGGAAGAGAACTCAGGTTACCTTGCGATCTGATGTTTGGAATACCTGAAGAAGAACGAAAAGAAATTCGAGACTATGCCGACGAAGTAAGGGCACGACTTCTGAGTATCCATGATTTTGCTCGGGAGCATATTCAACTAGCCAGTGACCGGATGAAGACCAGATACGACCTGAAAACCAATTCAGCTGGATTTCAAGAAGGTGATTTAGTGTGGTTGTATAATCCAGCTAGAAAGAAAGGAGTATCGCCGAAATTATCTTCAGCATGGGAAGGACCCTATAGAATAATCAAGAGGATCAATGATTTGGTTTATCGAATCCAGCGCAACACTAGGAGTAGGATGAAAGTTGTACATCTAGACAGATTAACGAAATATCATGGGCGTGAGGTTGATCGGGACGATCAACCTTAAGAGGAGGCCAGTGTTATGATAACGCTGACGCCAGAAAAACAGCGTTCTCCAGAGGAACGGCGTCCGCCAGGCTGTCAAGAATCGTCGAATATCCTAGAATCTAACGAATTATTCTACTATAATCGAGAAAATAAAATGATCGTGGGTGTTCTAGATTTTACAGGAATACGTTTAGGGATATATAAAAGGCCGTTATTGCTTTGAAGTTTAAGTTTCAATTCGACTGTGATACGAGTTAAATAGTGATTATTGAGTTGTAGAGTTTAATTGTTGAGTTAGTTATTAAAGTAATTAGTGTCAGAGTGTATTGTTACGTGGAATAAATTATTGCTGTGTTAATTGGACTTTGATTTTTGGAATAAACGAAACGAACCCAAGAGTTCTGTCATGCAAGCCAAAGCCGTGACAGTATTGATAACATTTTTGACATATCTTAGTTAAATTAAAAATACATTGCAAAGAAATTTTATAAAGATAGAGATCCTTTTGGAATTTGTTTGCATGTCAAAATGACTCACGTAAATATGATCAATATACAGGGTGTCCCACGAGGTTTTTCCCAAATAACTTCGGAACCCATCATCGTATGTTCTACTGCATAATTTTTTATAATTTTCTTTAACAAAGCCTTAAATGCCAATAGATTGAAGAATGATTATTTCTCAGGTTAGTACCTAAGTAGCACATACATGACCCTGCAACTACGTATTAACCAAATACAACGTCGCTAGAAGTGCAGATAAGTGACCGTCAATGATTTTTCGTTAAAATTACGTCGTGCCGTCGTTCTTAATATGTGGTCAAGAAATCGGACCTTTATCTAGCTCAATTTCGACGTAATAAATGAAAACCAGTTTTAACGTTGAATTGATAACGTCAATCCGTCGTCCTCTTGTATACTCGTGACCTCTGAAACGTTTTTTAAACGTCGCCTAATACGACCCATTATGAGGTGAGATAAAAATCGTAAAATGGACGTCATTATATTGTACCAAATTCAACGTTGCATTGGAGACGTCAATCCGTCGTTATCCTCATATCCTGTGACCTCTGAAACGTTTCAAAAACGTCGTCTGACACGACCAATCATAAGGTCAGATAATGGTCTTAGAAAAACGTCCGGCTAACGTTGAAATTGGACACAGGTAAAATTTGGTATAGCATTTCATACTTTTTGCGTCGTTCGTTAATAAACTGTCATCAGTCAAATAAAAACATAGACAAACAATAGATATGGCGTTACTATAGAAAGTTTTTATCAATTTGAATAAGTATTTGCTTTTGTATTTTTGATATGATATTGGACATAACAGGAGCTTCAAATACTCATCCACATATCACAGAAGAAGATTTTTTTTTTTTTTTACATTTAGTGAAAAGGCAGAAATGTATTCCAAACATGAAGCAAATGGAGCAAGAAGGGAAATTGGAAGAGAACCCTGTAATTTCCAATTAGGAAATTGAAATAGATTCCATAAATGTCGGGTTAAAAGGAAATATTTCAAGATTTTGAACATCAAAAATAAAACATTCACAGTTTCCTGAAAAATTTCAAATAAATGAGAGCGTTGAAGCACCTAAAGAACTGGTTACGATAGGTTACCATATGGGACCTTTAGTCATCTAGGTTTATATGTTTATACGATTTTATTACCTATTGTCCTATTATACATTAAGTTTATTTTCATGACGAAAACACGTATTAGGTTAGGATGAGGTGCAGATTATTAACTCGACCATTTTATATATCGCAAGGTCCTATCTAATCATCCGCCATTGCTGCACTTTTAATAAAAATAAAATAATATCTGAAAAATCAATCCCTAATTTTATCAAAATTATTTATTTTTGTGTAAATCGGACTTGCCCAAAGATGTTTTTGACCCATCGGAACTATATAAGAAATGATATGTAAATTAGTAGATTTATTTTATTTTTTTTTGGAAAATATCAACAAAATAGGAGCCCGTTCATGGGCGCCGCCAGGATTAGTTTCAGGGAGGTGCAGACGGGCAGTGGCGGCGCGTGGATTGTTATATTGGTTCAAATTACTAATTTAAGAAGGTGAATGCCCGACGCAGGAGCTGCCGGAGGCGCGAAAATGTTTCCTGGTGCCACGCCCAAAAACGGTTATTTTGTTTTTCTAGGTGATTAAAACCGAATTTTCGCGACGAATGTAGTTCATCCAACGACGAACCATAGTTTGTCTGTGACGTCATGAGTTTGAACGCTGGCTAGAAGGTATTGTCTTTGCTAGAAGCTGCATCCATGCTTCCGTCGAATTACGTTCAATATGATGTCATGAGTTTCTCGCGAAAGCGTTTATGTTCATGAAATCATGGAAGTAGATAGTTCGCTACGCCATTATGTAATATTTTTCTGTACGTAAAAATACAGTTTTGGAGGGGCGGCCTAGGGGGGGCCCTGGACGACGATTATTATTAGGCATGGGCGCTAGATCAATGATATTTTAGAAGATAGGAATTGAGTCCTTATGGAATTACGCAGCATCGTGGGGCCCTATTGGGCCATGGGCTCCTGGGCGGCGCACCAAACTGCCCGGTAATATATCGACCCCTGGGCTCGGGCATCTCGCAATTTAATACCTAGTTTTTTCGGGCTATCAAATCGTAGAAGTTAAAGAAATTTATATCAACAAAGAATGCGAGAAGGCCATCGTTTGTCGTTTCGCCAATTTTTTCAAACAGTAACTATTAAAAAAAAAAAATAATAATAATATAAAAATAATTTTTTCGTTGTATTTCTGACAGGGGGGTGCAAGTGCACCCCCTTGCACCCTGCTGCCGGCGCCCATGAGCCCGTTTGTTTTGTGTGCATATCATAATAATATTTGACAGAAAAGTTGCCTTCGTTTGAAATTTCTATGCCCACAGAAGCTAAATATTTAGTTTCACGTATTTTATTGTTGACAAGGTCAGGCGCCATTATTATTTTATGTCCCCCGATATTCTTATAGGTACCTACCTAATCATTTTGTTTTTAAAGTGATGAGTTGGGAAATAAAATAACACAATAATAAACCAAAAGTGCGAATTTGGTGCAATATATTAAACCTGGAACGTCCTTTGTTTGGTTTGGTAGGTATTTGTTTTTAGGTTAGTCATGGTTTACGACGACGTTTAGTGAACGTTCAAATCTGGTTGTGTATGCTGACATATTAGTTAAAAATTAGTAAAATCTCGCGACCTGCGACGTCGTTACAACCATGAAATGATTCTCCATTTTGGTGAAAATAAGGGTTGTAAAGTCGTCTATTTGACGTCGCGCCTTAACGTCAAGACATCAATGACGACGTTGTTAGGACGTAAAAGCGCTGCTTGGGTAGTGAAAAACAGTTATCTGCTCAACAATTAAATTGAATATTTATTTTTTTTTTTGCGTCAAAATTATAAAAAAAAAAACATATGATAAATCTGTAGGCTCTTACTGATTCACGTGATTTTCATGAAAAAAAAAATAAAATTACAAGAAAAAGTTCTTTCATTGCATGATTCACACCATTCCTATAAGAGAATCGATATCGTGTTGAACCACTCGTGTATCGCACTCTATTTGGAAGGCCAATTATTAATAAACTGCTGAGGCATGCCTTCACAAATAGCCAACTGTATTTAAGTTCAGGGACCCTGACGGATCTGGTTGAATTGCCTAGACTTTCTGGTCCAGACGTACTCAAAGCAACTCCTGTTCGATAAACAGAGTGGCAACTTCATTTCTGTTCTCCCACGTTATTCCCTACGATCGTTTACTATTCTTGAACGGTGAGGAAGGCCATTATCGTAAACAGAAACAAAATCTTCATTTTACAAAAAATTTACATTTTGCTAATGTTTATTAGGTATTGTTAATTTCAGGACATTTGCATTTATTCAGTTAAATTGTGGAGGAGTGTATATCATTACTTTGCAACATTTTAATTTTAGAGATTTTTTTAATTTTTGACCTGATGTAGCTTCAACTTCTTAACTCATATCACTGTTCAATTTTTGTATCATAGAGTGTACATTTATATTATACTAATTTTGTAGGCAAAGAGAAGCTAAAACCAAATTTATTTACGAACCTAACGATGGCATAATGATCTTAGAAGAAAAGTTACCGATGTCTTGGCATGGATTTAATGAGACTCCCCAATTCCAGGTATTTATTGTTAAATTTTTTTTTTTTTTCAGGGAACACAGTAAAAATGATATTAAAATATCGATTGATCATTGAAATATTGTTCTGTTACTACGTAAAACTCAACGTACCTACTTATGTGAAGTGGTCCTGCGAAAAGTATTCTAAGAAAATCGAAGAATTTTTCTTTGAAAGAAACTCGAGCACCACAATTTGCTCCTTACAGAAAACTGATGTTTTAAAACAAAATTAATACAACAAGGTGCATTAAATTGAATTGAACGGAAGAATTCATAAAAATAATTATTATCTAAAATTTTTTTTATATCAAGGCAAAACACCAAATTTTTCTGCAATTTCGAACACAGGCCTTTTTCCCTATTTTGTGTTTGCTATAATTTCCAACTTAGTTTTCAGAACGAGAGTTATATTATGTAATATACTTAGATGTTCATTTTGAAAGTTATTACCTCGCTATCAGAAATTTTTCAAAAAAAATCTTTGAAAAATATCTACCATAATCTGAAGGGGGGTTAGTTTTGATGTAAAAGTATTTTCGTTTCCCCTATCTCACCCAACAACTGCCTGAAAAATCTCAAATGGGAAGGGTTTTCAACTGGTTTTCACAATTTTTTAAATTTTCTCACATTAATTGAAAAAAATATTACCTACCTACCACTCGAGCCACTCCGCCAAAAAACATAAATGAGAAAGATGATCCAGTGTGTGATTAAAGGAAGTTTATCATTTTTATTGCAAAGTGTTTCATTATTAAATTTAGTAAATTTCTCAAAATGTTCTCCATATACTTCTAAGCAACACAGTATGCTGTTCAAATTCCTGTCGTTTTGATGTTTCTGGGTTTACCAACTACAAATTGGTCTCATAAATTAACAAATTCAGATGACCCCCACAAGAAAAAATTGCATAGACTGGGATAATCGTCTGCCTATCTACGAGCAATTTCCTACAGCTTTCGCGATGAGATTATCTGGATAGATCTTCCCAGTTATATACACCTATAAAAATCGGTTACAAAATGTTCCTGGTCTTACGCTTCCCAATCTCCTCTCGTTTATATCTGCCCTTAAATCTTCATCTAGGTCTCTGTTCTTCCAGTTGGGTTCCACAGTATTATTCGTTGTGATACTCGTTTCTCATCCGTTGTGCGTGCTTTTTTTATGGATATGCCTATGTTATGACAGTTTGCTTCCCCATTTTGATAACTTTTTCCATCATATCTTAATAAGCGTAGAGAAAATACAACTCTTAAATTCTGGTCGTCGTTTACTTTCGGCTCGCTATTGTATCATTCTTAAATTGTTTTATGTAGTTTTAGGTTTAAGTGTGTTTTTCATATGCTATTTTCTTTTAAATCACTTGCGTTATACAAAACAAATGATCCATAGTCGCCCTAAACCCAGCTTGCTCTTATTTTCATTGTTTTGTATTTGTTCTTAACTCTTTTCCTTATTGTTTTCCCGTAGATTTTACTCAGCACTCTTTCTTGGTCACAGAAATATCTCTCGCAGCTGTCTTTTCTTACTTTTTTGTGAATCGTGAATATGTAACAAGACATGGGAAAAAAACTTGTCGAGGCTGCAAGTAAATTGAAAAAATAATATAATAAAAGGTATATAATCGAAAAGCCTTCCAAATGATGTAGGTAGCTACCTATCACTGCCCGTTCAATATTTTTGACGAGGTGGTTCGGAGTGTAGGGGTAGAAGAATGACAAGAAGGTAAATTTTACCCTAAACTCAACCCTCTTGAAATTATATTTGATGCGTTCCGACGACTTTTTCAAAAATGAACACCCTGAATATTCTCTGTTACACATTGAGACATTTCAAATCACATAAATAATATGACTGCGTGTCGATGTACGCCTTTTTTTATTTAACTTGTATAAGCGAAAGTATGTCTCTAAAGGCCGGGACACATCTATCATGCATTCTTCCGATTCGACTCCGATCATACAATCAGGGTCCTTATTCTTGGAACAGGGGAGCATGGTTCCCAGGAGAACGAGTGTTCCGTCTTCGTTACTCATATTATCAGTAGCATATAATTGAGAAAGACGGAACACTCGTTCTCTTGGGAACGCTGCTCCCTGTGCCAAGAATAAGGACCCTGATTGTATGATCGGAGTAACGGATCGGAAGAATGCATGATAGATGTGTCCCGGCCTTAATTTGGGCATGCTGTCTTGCTATTTAGTATGTGTTCCCAACGGTGGGCCATGACTTATATAAAACGCCACAGTTATTAAACAAGATTGTCTACTTTTCCCAATACAACAAGGTTTTCCAATTTGTGGGTCACACCTACTTACAACACATTACAACAAAATCCCAAAGAAACAATAATCTGGAGGCTAAATAAAACTCATTAGTTATTCTGCTTCAACTCTAAACTCAGGTTCCCCAGAAAACCTTCTTTGGGCAAATTCGACATTCTTTAGGTTCTAAATAGAAATTATTCCGACGTCTCTGTCTCTGATTTCTCCTGGTATCGAAAAAAAAAACAAAAAAAAAAAACAATTTCAATGACGTAGCTGAAAGGTAAACTTACCTCTACAAGCCATCAAGTCCCAATACTCCCACTACCGCAAAAAAAACCATACCATAAAAGTAAAAACATTGTACTTATTGAAACTTAAAGCGTATATAAATAGCAAACCTTAAGCTTTACATACCGATGTGTCATGAATCGTGGTGATTTGAATAAACCAGAGAAATTTAACAAGCTAATCCAAACTTTATTTTACTTTCAGGAAATACCTGAAATTAAGGTATTTTACGATTTATACAACTATTTAGAAACATCAGAGGCGTCTTTCTGGAACTTCTATCACAATTATATATCCTACACAGATCCGTCCGAGTGGCTGCCTCCATTTAAAGGTAAGAAGTAATTATAATTACCCACCATAAACACTTCACAGAAATATGTTGAATAACTAATTTTCAAAACTTCTTCAACTACGATACACATTTATTTTCAACTAACTTTGAAATGTTTCTTGCGACAAAAAAAAAATTTTTTGTCGTAAAGATTTTCCATAGTAATTTGAAATAAAAAAAGTTGATCCAAGTTTCTGATTCAGGTTTTACAGTTGCGTGAATATCTAAAATTCCTATAATTTTTTTTTACAGGGTTACTTTATAGTTTGGTTTACAAAAAAGCTAATATTAATTATGTCGTCGTGTTCCCAACCCATACTGGATAACGAAAAATGAGCAGTTTAGGTAGTCTTTCCAGCTTTATTTACTTGCCCTGACGATATAATAATAATATATTTTACCACGTTAACTGCCAAGCCGATTTAAAAAAAAAATTCCTCCCAGGCCATTTGAATTTTTGGATAGAAAATGGCATTTGAAGAATACCAGTACTTGAAATAGAGTGATATCATTCGCCATGGGGCCGTTATCTTGATTTTAGAGCGTAGGTCACCGGTGACCTACGCGGCGTGGCAGGCAACAAAATCCCTTTGCAAATATATGATATGAACCTAAATGGTATGCAACACACAATACAGAAAAAACATGATATTCCTGCACATGAAGAGTCGTCGTAGGTCACCACACCGCCTTGAAATCCCATTTAACGTTGGGTTTTGACAAAATTATTGACAAAATTTGCTGTAGGTCACCGGTGACCTACGCGGCGCCCCAGGCACGACTACCCGTAGGGTACCGGTGACCTACACGGCGGTTAACGTGTTAAAATTAGGATAGAAGCTAATTCATATGTCGCAAATACAGGTACAGTGCGACAATAAACGATAGTTTAGAGCCGATGCTATTGCAAATTGTAGGTATGTTCAAGCATATACTTGATACAAAACAAAGTGATTACGTAGCTCTTGTACGGAAGAAATATCTTAGTCAGGTAGGTATATCAGACCCAGCTAAGGAGCATAGTGGTTGTCGATGCACTGGAGTGTAAGGCTAACAAAAATGCCTGTCCAAATAGAAAACGCAAGATTGGGAACTGCGGATATCCGAACAAAGCCCCTTTTCAAAAGTTAGTGACGATGTTTCACACGTACTGCGGTATCAAAGATAGCGATTCAAGATCTAGAAAATCTAGGTCAGGAGTCCGCGATGCGTAAGAAGAGGACGGCTAGACTTGCTTCGCCATCAGGGAAACAGTGTAAAGGAGCGAACCACTGACTCTCAAGCTCCCGAATCAAGGGAATTATCTATCAAAAGCAATTGTGAGAGTCTCGTTGCCCAAGGTACCCACAACGGCAAGGAATCTGATTTGACCTACAATACAGGGGCATCAACATCAGTAGTTAGCCTCGGCAAAGTTTTCAAGAACTCTATGATGATGTCGAGAAATAAACCGCTACTAGAAACAGCTTAGGACATTTTACGGTATTACCAAACTGCAGGTAGCAATGGTAGTTGCTGACATAATAGACGAGTTAATATTGGGTGCAGATGTTTTTCTATATGTAGACTTCGAAAATAAATGGACAATGACAGACCAAAAAAACACATGTAGGCAGAAGCTTCATCCTTGCAATGCAGTTACGCCGCTAGTTTGTCAATAATTTTGAGGACACTGCAAAGCCATTACATCAACTAACTCAGGTTTATGCTTACTTCCATCGGACACCAGAGGGTCAACGGACTTTTTTGCAGCTGAAAAATAGAATTGCCAGTGCTCCAACTTTAGCGTATCCTATGGTCTCTTAAAGCGGAGTTGCAGCTTTCTCAAATTCGGAACGGCGAAAAAGTGAGGAGTTTACCGGGAATGCGAAAAGCCAGAATTCCGACAGAATGGATGAGTGGTACAGTTGGACCATCAATCAATACTCCTCGATGTTTGTGAATGAGCATCGATGAGAGTTGGATTTGCCGGTTCCTCTTTTGCTAATGGTTTATATAAGCTTTCAGCATGAATCCACCAGCTATACGCCACCAATGCTGTTGACTGTAAGAGAAATGAATCTCCACGTAGATCTATTATTTGGCAGACCACCAGCCGATGAAGACGAAGCTGTACCAGCAGTGATGGATGAGAGGTACAGGTGGACCATCAATCAATACCACTCGATGTTTGCGTATGAGCATCAGCGAGACTTGAATATACCAGTTCCTTTTTTGCTGCTGGTTTATAGAAACTATCAGCATGAATCCACCAGCCATACACCACCAATGCTGTTGACTGGAAGAAAAATTAAGCTTCACGTAGATCTAATATTTGGCAGACTACCAGCTTATGAAGACGGAGTTGTACCTCCAGTGGTTGGATGAGAGGTACAGGTGGACCATCAATTAATACCACTCGATGTTTGTGAATGAGCATCAGCGAAATTTGGATCAACCGGTTCCTCTTCTGCTGTTGGTTGATATAAGCTCTCAGCATGAATCCACCAGGTATACACCACCAATGCTGTTGACTGGAAGAAAAATGAAGCTTTGTACATCTAATATTTGGCAGAGCACCAGCCGATGAAGGCGAAACTCTACCTCCAGTTCCTGTGGCTGATCTCCAGGATAGACACAGGGTGCTTAACGATTTCGCCAGAAACAGCACTACGTCTGAACGGCGAGAGAATGAAGGTGAGACTCGACAAGCAGCAGTCACTGAACCTGAACACATTCAATGAAGGTGCGGCTGTCTGGTTGTATCAGAAACAGTGAATGAAGGGACTAATCTCGAAATTACAAAGAACGACCGAAGGACCATACAATATGATCCAGAAGATAAACGGCTTGGTGAACAGGATTAACTTTCCGCTGAAAGCTGATTCATTCACCTAGAAAGGCTTCATATTGAGGCAAGAAAAAACCGAACTAGATGCCACAAGGACAAGCTTTTCGAATCGAACAGCTATAACAAAAGGGGCTGTGTTAAAAAAATAAAAATAACAGAGATGGCCCTTGAACTCGTATGACGTGCCTGCCTATCGATCGATCTCTGTATGCCTGGTGACTGGGACTATCAAATTTGGAGTGTGTCCTTGAATACTACAGATTTCAAGTAGCGAGTTCGCTGGACAATATGGTCTCTTGCACTAAAAGTTTGATAACTTATTTAAGCATAAAATCTTAATAAATGATGGACTATTTTAGGTGTATTTGCCAAAAACAAATTATCTACGAGCCTAAATGAATTTTTTACACGCACTTCAGAACTGGAAAAATTTTAAATTCTTGAAACGCGCCAAACGAGGACGTATAAGCATCATAACAATAGCATTATCAAACTTAAATCAATTAAAGGCGTTTAACCGGTCCGTAACAGTTGAGAGATAACCAATGAAGCAAACGTCATTTGTCAACCAATCGGTATTTAATGACGTTAAATGCATTTTTCATCTGTCAAAATAACCGATCGGTTAATCGCCATTAATTAACTTAATCAGATTTTAGACGACAAAGCACAAACAGCTGTTCCGATTGTCGGTGGGTAAAGTTTTGATTGCGCTTTTGCCAGTGTGACTAAAGGTGGTGCGTCGTGAGAAAAAAAAGTGGAGTGATTACAATAAATAAATTTAAATTGTGTATAAAAATAATTCAAAACCAAATGTTTATAACTCTTGAATCCCTAAGTAATTAATTTACCTATTTTTCTTGGTATTTCGCGAACGTTCTAGAATTAAATCTATTACAAATTGTCAATTCTGACAATTAGTGGCAAGACTCTCAAAATGCAAGCTGTGACGTAATGTGGATAAATTCTTTGTTTTTTTTTCGAGTTTTCTTTTTTATTTATTTTCGCAAGAAAGACTCCAAGTTTTTCGAAAGTAAGGGTGCAGAAAATTCGATTTTTTGTTGCTTTATCCAATTATGCCAGATTCAAAAGGAAAGAGCCCTTTGGCGAATGGTTTGGAACGATATATAAGGAGCCCGCGACATTAAAATGAGTAGTAGTATTGGAGAATAAAAGAGTTTTCGACTTGGACAGTAGGCCACTTGAGCCTTATTTGAGTAGACCAAAGTTTTTTAATAGGTAGTGCTAGTTTTGCAGTGATTCTTGAGTTATTGCCTTAAATTTGAATGATAGTATTCTACCTTATCTATACTAACTCGCGTACAAAACAATCCCGAGTATCTAATATGTTTTCAAAAATAGCAGAATTTAAGTACTTATTAGTAGGTAAGAGAATAATGAATTTACAGTGACATCATTAATTTTGTTTCAGGACATGCAATGCTAATTGGAGGAAACAATTTTATCACATTTGATAAAAGGTATTATAACTTTAGAGGAAGCTGCACGTATTTACTGGCAACTGATTTTGTAAATCGTAACTTCACTTTGTTGGTGTCATATAATGAAAAGGGACTTTTTAATGAACTAGTTTTATTAATAAATAGAACTGTAGTTTCTATAAATATATTTGAAAACGTAAGTAATGACTATTTCTGAGTTTCTCTATCTTACGTTAGTGTGTTGTTGATAAGACATATAGTTACATTCGTATTTTGATCAGGCTGATATTTCTTAATCTCTAACTCTATAACTCACTCCAGAATTAGAGGTGAAGACACATCAGGATTACCTTAATGCAAATGTGGAGCATGTCAAAGTATCGCAAGATATTATTATGATAGACCATGTTAAATATAACCTCATTTCAGACCGTAACCGTGGACGATTCTATAACGGCATTATTGCCTCTCGAGATAGGAAACAATCATTTATATCGAGAAGCCGACATAATAATTTTAGCAAGTAACTCCGGATATACCTTAGAGTGCAACGTTAAGTTCCAGATTTGTATTTTCGAAGTTTCAGGTTTGTACAATTTATATATTATTTGAGTAACAAAGCGTGCTTAAACAAGGTTAACGTTATGTAGATTTTCTTAATATAAGATTTCAGGTCGTTATTCAGTTCTTTTCAATTTATGCGATGAAACTTCAATAGTATCTATAACTTGAACTGATTACTAATATTGCAACATGTCTCACCCGTCACCTTATGACTCAATTAATAGGTACTTATTTACGTGCATATGCATATAAACTTTTAAAAAACGTCTCTTTAGGATACTGAATCTCATATTTTTACACTATAGCTTTATTTTCTAGTAAAAATACCCTTTATTTCCTCGTCTCATGAATTTACCTCTGCAGGCTACACTTTGGCCATATAACTGATTGCCAGAATGAACGTCAAAAAATAAAAGTACCCATTAAAAAAAAAAAAAAACTAATTTGCTATTAAATGGGTCATTCCACCCTTTTTAACCATGAAACGGCACACCACTTAAATACAAACAAGAAGGGTCAAACAGGTAATTTGCCTGTTTAGAAACATGACTGGATAAAAACATCTTAACTTTTTGATGACCCTAATTTAATATCACGTCTAACACAAAGCGGTGATTAAGTGCTCTGTATTTATGAAACATTCAAGCACTTTAAGACACAATTTAAAAAAATATATTTTTTTTTTTTAAGGCTGGCATTATGGAAGAACGGCAGGACTTTGGGGAAGCTATAACAATGAACCCTATGATGATTTAACATTTCCAAATAGGTCGAGACCAAATATCGATGATTTAACAGGCTACGCAGACAGTTGGGCTGTAAGCCCTGGCTGTAAAACAAAAGCATATGAAAGTAATGGAGATGAATTTTTAGAAGAAATAATACCTATATGTAATGAAAAAAATCTTATTTTTGCAGATACTAAAGAGGATAAGCCCGATTCAATGGATATCGAGTCGTTGTGTTATGAATTTTTTCACAACAAAGTGTCAGATTTGAGTACGTGTTTCCCTACCATACCAAAAGACGACTTTCTGAAAATGTGTATGAACAGTAAAACAACGTTGGAGGCATGCAGAAGTGCTATAGCATATATCGAAATATGTCACAGACAAAACACACCACTAAATATTCCAGACTCCTGCATTATGTAAGTGTATTTTTTACTATTAATTCAAAAATATGAAATTTAAAATCAGATTTCCTGCATTTTTATTTTATAGATAGAAATAGAGATATGATGCAGATTCAAGCCAAGGAACTCTCACTTATGCAATTTTGATATCGCGCCTAGTTCTAATTGATGTTGGTCTTGCCCATATAAACTATCAAAATATAATTTAGCAGACACCTTATTTTATCTTCGATCATTCGTTAAAAAAAAAACGTGGTTATGATTTTTATTCAAGCACAAACACTATCGATTATAATTGTTTTGATAATAAAAGATGTTTTTATCGCTGTTCAAGAATTTTGAATAAAAATTATTATAGTCTAGGAAAATAGTCGAAAAATACATGCATTGCAAAAAAAAAATTCCTACCCAAATGAACTTTTCAGGGATGATAGGGGGCGGGTGGGTGATCATAAAACCGAAAATATCAAACATTCACCCCTCTGGCGTTTTGCGCTATAGGGGTTGAAATTGCGCCATTGGCGATTACTTGGTACCTATTGATTTTACAAAAAAGTGTTTCAAATAAAAGATGTGCAACATTATTTGATCTACAATGTTTATCTAAAGACTTTTTTGATTAAGGGCCGTCTGTGGTCATAAGGGCCGTTTGAATTTTTATAATGAAAATGAAAAATTTTAACTAACGTGATAAAATTTTCTACAATACATACAACATTTTTGCTTTATGAAGTTTTCACTCGCCCCCTGCCGTTTTTCAATAGGGGTAGTTTAAAGTTAATTTATTTCTTTTACAAAAAAAAATTCCTAATAAAAGTTCTATAAGATTACATTTCCTACAATTTTTCCCAATCAACTTTTTTTATAACTCACCCCCATTCAACGGGGGGACACTTCCCTTAGGGAAATTTTAGTTTTTAGGGGTATATATAATAAAAAAAAATTCTTTTCTCGCCTTTAGTGCATATAAAAAGGTGCAATTAACATGTATTAAATGGATTTTTTTTTCCACCACCTTTTTGTTTTTAGGGGTAGTTCGCCTATTTTCAACTTTACAAAAAAAAGTTATAGAGGAAATAGAGGAAAGTTGTTCAAAATAATAAAATGAACAAGTTTTCTTGATAATTTTTTTCTGTAAAGTTGAAAATAGGCGAACTACCCTTAAAAACAAAAAGGTGGTGGAAAAAAAATCCTTTTAATACAATGTTAATTGCAACTTTTTATATGCACTAAAGCCGAGAAAAGAAAAAAAAATTAATATATACCCCTAAAAACTAAAATTTCCCCGAGGAAAGTGTCCCTCCGCTGAATGGAGGTGAGTTACAAAAAAAGTTGATTTGGAAAAATTGTAGGAAATGTCATCTTATAAAACTTTTATTAAGAAAATTTTTTTGTAAAAAAATAAAAAAACTTTGAACCACCCCTATTGAAAAACGGCAGGGGGTGAGTAAAAACTTCATAAAGCAAAAATGTTGTATGTGTTGTAGAAATTTTTTTTCCCGTTGGTTAAAATTTTTCATTTTCATTATAAAATTTCAAACGGCCCTTATGACCACAGACGGCCCTTAATCAAAAAAGTCTTTAGATAAACATTGTAGATCAAATAATGTTGCACATCTTTTATTTGAAACATTTTTTTGTAAAATCAATAGGTACCAAGTAATCGCCAATGGCGCACTTTCAACCCCTATAACGCAAAACGCCAGAGGGGTGAATGTTTGATACTTTCGGTTTTATGATCACCCACCCTCTCGCTATAATCCCTGAAAAGTTGTTTTGGGTAGGATTTTTTTTTTTGAAAATCGACAATTTTCCTAGACTATTAAGTTACGTTAGTATTTGGAACAAATTATATTGGAGAATGAATGGAAATTGGAAATTATCGTAAAGTTTCCGAGCAGACGAAAAATAAAATGAATGAAAAAAAAATATAGATTGGGTGGGCTTAAAAAAAAAAACGGAATTTCGTTTTTGAGCTGTAACTTTTGTTGTTGAGCAATTTGCTTTTGATTAGGCGTGTTTGGAAGAGAATTGAGCAGGCTAACGAATCAAAGTGAAACTTTTGAAATTTGAGAAAATTCAAAATGACGGACTTCTCCAAAAATGACCTATTTTTGGATATGAAAAGTTTATAACGTAGGTACTTATTTGGCAATTGCCTAATTATACTGCGTATGGCTAGACAGCATCAGTTCGGAGGCCAAGGGTATATGGATTCCTTGTATACATACATCTTATCTCTGGGCGCCACCAAGTTAATTGTGACTTAACTAGGAAGATTACCTAATGATGTCATAAACAAAACCTGTGTAATTGGAGAGCTTAGCAATAAAACAACTAATCTGGCTTTCTTTATTAAAAATAATTACAATGTTAAATAGGGATAGCCAGGACGTTATTAAAAAAGTGTTTAGATATAGGCTTGTACCAAATTTATAAATATTTTATTATAAAAAATATGTAAATAATACATATAAAAATGTGGATTTTAAATAAACAGTTTTAACTGTTTATTTACACTTGTGAAAGATTAAAGACTACAGTTTGAGCTACACTCTGTACAGGCAATATGCAGTTGGGGGTAGAACAAATTAGAGACAAGCTTTTTTTAATGTGTAGGAAAAAGGGTCCTATTTAACATACTAAAAGCCCCATCCAATCCCAGCATGATAAATCTGAAAAAAAATGCTCCATTCTCATTTTTCAGTTTTTACTGAATAACTTTTTTATTGATGCATTTTGGAAAAATTGTGTAGATACTTTATTTACAGGGCTTAAAACTGCGCATATTTTGGTATAAAATAACTATCTGTAGCTTGAAAAATAGAAAAGATACAACATTTTAAAATGATAAGGTACCTAAAAAATATTATAAATTTTGATTTGCAAAGTGTTTGATTCACATATTTTGTGTTTCAAAATCAAAAAAGCCTACTATGAGGTAATTGGATAAAAAACTTACAAAAAGTCATTAATTACCTCTTCTTCTATTTTAAATACAGCATTGGTACAAGTAATTCCATAGCAATGGCCACACTTTGGGGAATACCTTATGCCCAAATTTTTACATGAACAATTACGTCCACATGCACTCTATTTGCAGTTACAAAAAAGTTGATTACCCAAATTGAGGGGTGCTATTTTTTGTTTCATTTTGTTTGGAATTAGGTTCAGCATTGTCGCTTTTTACCCAGCCCCATGCTGCACGATCCAGATGATTACCCAGCCATTCTTGAACTTTATTATTCAAAATTTAAACTAATTAAGTTATTAATTTTTAAATGCTTTTCACTGCTTCACGAATTGCCTGATGATAAACTCTCAGTAGATGTTGTCCTGCGGCTTTTTCTGTAGGACGCAGCGCGACTCAATTTAACTGACCTCAGAGTACCTGCCTATTGAAGAGATTCTATGATACAAAAAGTTCATTCAGGCTTGGCTTGAGGTAGTTTTGGCATTACTTTGGCATAACTTGAGTAGAAACTCTATACCGACTTCCAAAATTTTTGATTTCAAAGCATGTTCTGCCTAAAATGAAGTAAGTGCTTGAAACAATGAGGATTCTTCTAAAGAACAGACAGACATGCCTTCTGAGTTTTGTTAAAAAAAAGAAACGACGTTGTGTCGCATCCCGAAACTCGAAACTGCAAAAGTGCTAGCTTCGTAAATAATTAACATATTGCCAGGCACAAATTATATTTTTTATACATAAATTACTAAAAAATAACAACTAGATAACGTTTTGAATAAACTATGGGGTCTTCAAAAAAAAAGCCAATCAAAGAGTGCTATGGGTTTTTAAATGTATGTCTTAGCAATATTTTTCTTTAATTTTGTCAATGAACTTTAATGTCAAAATGTCATATCAAAAATCCTGACCAATAAAGAAACAATAACGCGACGTACGTTTTCGTAATCAAAGCAATCTTTGATTGGTTTTTTTTCGAAGGCCCGTTATTATGTAGTAAGCTTTGTGAAATTTGAAATTTGTCGGACTTTTGAAATAAGATATATTAATTTATGCACTTTAGGTAATAAAATTACCCTGTTAATCCCCGTTTTAAGGGAGTAAAGTGGGTCTTTTGCGGGTCAATTCTCAGCACATCTGTAAGCAAATCTATAAATTTCCATGAGCCTATAGACACTGCAAAACGCATCGATTGCTAAACACCAGAGCGGAAGTATTTACGATCTTGCAGGAATTTAAATTTATAGATTTGCTTACAGATGTGCACAGAATTGACCCATTAATTCCCGGGATTAAATTTCACTTTATTTCCCCAGGGATTAAATGTTTACTTTATTTCCCGGGGATTAAATGAAACAGGGATTGAAAGTAAGTACCCTTTCAATTCCTCCAAAGTACCTAAAATAGTGTATTCACCTCAGGACTAAAGTGTTTTTTGATCCCTCAAGAAATTATATATAAATTTTTTGTCTCAGGACTATAAGTACCACTTCAGTCCCTAGGTGTATAATGTTCTATTACAGCTGTATCCATATGGTGAGGGAAAAAAATTGGTGCACATTATGTATTTTTTACTGCTCAACAAATTATGTAGATATTTTTTCATAGAGGCTCAATTTACTGAGGTATTGACAAAAAAACATAAAAATTCAAGATTGGGTCCGTTTTTCTCCTATTTGGCAAAATCCTACCAAATGGGACTTTTAGTATGTTATACTACTAGTCATTATGTGTCGATTTCAGCCGAAACTAGCTTGTCTCTAATTTGTTCTAGGTCGGCCTATTATAAGCTGCTTAGTTTCCTGTACTATCTACCAACAGGCAAATTTAACACCAGAAAGGTGACAATTATTGTTAGGGCAACCTCAGGGTAAAATTCTAGAATTTTATTTTAGGGGCACGTACTGAACGTAATCCAGTGTCAGGTGATTTATATAAGATTTGCCTAAATAGTAAAAAGTGCAACTTACATGTATACAAGTGTTAGTTATCTTCAAATGTATGTGTAAACTCAGAAGTTCCTAAAGTGAGGTTATCTACATGTTTGGTCTCACTGTAGATAGACTCTGGTACCTATGGTAAGTGAGTCCTATGGAAGTCCTATCCACGTTTTATCTGTTTAACGTAGAACTCAACGTGGTTCTATCAGAGTGGTACCAAAAGGGTTGTTGAAGGGAAGCTACCAAAGCCCCAACTAAGGGCAATCTAGATCCAGCCTAGAATCTCTCTAAATACAGCCTAGAATCTCCTAAATACAGCCTAGGAGCTGTCTAGATATAGCCTAGTACCTATAACGATGTTCGTATAAAAAAACAGATCGAGCTCCAAACATTAGAAATAATCTTACCTCTAACTGAGGGATGCTCTAGGCCAAAAGTGAAGTCTTAAACTTCCAAAAGCTGCTCGGAACGATCCTATTGAAGAAATGAAACACGTGTTGTAGCTTAATAATTCCTGAAGAAGATCTCAAAAATTACCGAAACAAAATCCAAAATGACCAAGGGACAACTCTAGACAATGATCAACAAGAAATTAGTCCAACTTGATTTTCCCTGGCACAAAAGTGCAAAAAGTCTCGCCTAAAAACAACCAGGGCCAAGGCCGACCTCACAGTATCAGGTCTCAAGGTCAAAAGGGGAGACCCCTCCCCCCAGACTTGGAAAGAGGGCTTCCATTTGTCAAACCTCCAATTTTGACATTGATGAAAATTATAGAAAAGGGCGTGTTAAGTTTCATCCCAAACATACGAACTGAAAAGTGGGTTGTGTATGAATGACTCCAGATAACCGGTAAATGTTGAGAATTGCCTATAGAACCTATATCAAAAAGTAGAACAGGTCTTAAAGGAAACGCCTAGACAGCGACAGCTGTTCAATGACCCATTTTTCCTGTCAAGGTCTTAAAATGTTCGCAAAATGATGAACTTCAAGAATTTATTATGAAAAGTTATACAGGAGGCACAAAAAAGTTCCAGCGCTATCCAAAACTAAGTAATTGATGAAGAAGTCCGCCATTTTGAATTTTTCTCAAATGGCAGAAGTGTCACTTTGATACGTTAGCCTGTCTTCTCCTCTTTCGAAAAAGCCTGAACAAAAGGAAATTGCTCAACAACAAAAAGTTACAGCTCAAAAAGAAAACTCTGGTTTGTTTAAGCCCACCCTAGGGACAGTTACTAAGCTGGCGGTCGTCCATATCTCCTATACTAACGGGGATCGGAGAAAAAACTAGATACAAAACTTGTAGATAAACATGAGTACTACATTCCTAAATTATTTTCCAGTATACAGGGTGGCCCAATAAGTAGTGGTGATACAAAGTTGTTTTTTTGAATGATTTCTCCTGTATATTATTATTTCTGGATTCTGTGGAAAATTATAGACATATTTCATGTATAATGTCATATACCTATCTTCAACTGTTTCGGGAATATTGACAGTTTAAAATTGACTTTTTCGCATCTTTGACAGACTGTAAAACCTAAACGGTTAATTTTAGAGGAAACCGGATTTTACATTAGATTTTCATAAGCTATCATTTGACACCAACTTTGAATTTAACCGAAGATTAATAATTTAAGCGGAATTTTTGATCATGCATCAAATTCAAGGTTAGTGTCAAATGATAGTTTATGAAAAAATAAGCGAAGGAATGTATGATCGGTTTTGCTGTAAAATTAACCGTTCAGGTTTTACAGTCTGTCAAAGATGCAAAAAAGTCAATTTTCAACTGGTAATATTTCCGAAACATTGTACATGAAATATGTCTAGAATTTTCCGCAGAATCCAGAAATGTCATAGTATACAGGGGGAGTCATTTAAAAAAATATAACTTTGCGTCACTACTACTTATTGGGCCCCCTGTATACTGGAAAATAATTTAGGAATGTAGTACTCATGTTTATCTACAAGTTTTGTATTTAGTTTTTTCTTCGATCTCTGTTAGTATAGGAGATATGGACCACCGCGCGCTTAGTAAATCACCCTGTATATTCATGAATTTTCAACCTGTGATAAATGAGATGATGACTTTTTTTAGATGACTGTAGATTGTAGTAGTATATTAAATTCAAATTGTAATTTTAGAATAAGGTGATGATTGCTGAAACTGTATTGTTTTGTCATGGATAAATCAATTTTCTATTGTCGATTAAAACAGAAAAAAAAAACATTTCTTTAAATTGTTGATCGTAGATGAACTGTTGTACAGGGTATTTGATTATATTTAGGCCCATACCTACAGCCTTTATTATTCAAGATAGAAAAATAGTTTAAATTCAAGACTTGACAGTTTTTGAAGTGAAACTTCTTAGGCGGCGCCGGCGGTCTGATATTTGGACGACAATGGTGAGTGATTTGAAAAACGCGTCACGGACAAATTTCCTTACTTGGGAGAGAAGAGAGATATAACGTAAAGAGACGGAGAAAGACAGCTATTGATTGATATAAACCAAGGATTTCGAGCGCAAAGAGGATTGCCCATTATTGACAAGCGCCGATACCCTTGGGACGTCACTACAGATGCGCGTCTGCCTTTTGTTATTTATATTATTTATACATTTATGTGCTGTGATTTTTTGAATGAAACTTCTTAGGCGGCGGTCTGATATTTGGAAGACAATGGAGAGTGATTTGAAAAACGCGTCACGGACAAATTTTGTTACTCGAGAGAGAAGAAAGATATAACGTAAAGAGACGAAGAAAGATAGCTATTGATTGACACAAACTAAGAATTATAAGCGCAAAGAGGATTGCTTATTATTGAAAAAAGCCGATACCCTTGTGACGTCATTACAGATGCGCGTTTACCTTCGTCTTTGCCCCGACTCATACGCTTAGTCTAAAAGTTGTATGATGGGGGGATAGTTTCAAGGAAGTTTCACTTCTACCACGTGTACGGCGCTGTACAGGATTTTTATCAGAAGAAACAAAATCGCATCGGAAAATGAAAACACGTAGACAACTTCAAAGTTTTTTATTGGGACACCTTGTATATTATGCGATAGAATGAAAGATCTTTTCTTCCTGATTCCAAATATATACAGTGTGTCCCACTTAAGGACTGACCACCCTTCTAAAATTTTTATTTTGCAACCGATTCAATTCATGTCTTTTTGTCTTATATCTACTCGAATTTGGCATTTATTTGGCTTATAATTTTATTTCTGCTGATAGCAGATTCTTGTTTAGAATGGTCTAAAACCTAGATGTACTAATTGTTTCAATATGAGACAGGGTAATCACAACAAATTTTCAAAATTTAATGGACCAAACCGGAAAAATGTCATATTTTGAAGCCTTGAGAACAACAAAACTTGATACAAAATAGTTTCAGAACATCTTTAACCAAAACTTGTAGTAAGCTTGTCTGAAAATATAAAATATTTGCGGGTTGATTCATCAAATTGTGAAATTTTGTTGTCATCAGCCTGTATCGTATTGAAACAAAAATTAGTACATTTGGGTTTTAGACCATTCTAAACAAGAATCTACTATCAGATTTTTTTCTAAAAAAATCCCTAATAGTACTTACTGAAATTTAAGCCTATAAATGTGGACACCCTGTACATCAGTACAGCCGCAGAAATAAAAATATGACCCAAAAAAGTGCCAAATTCGAGTAGATATAAGACAAAAAAAAATTAATTGAATCGGTTAAAAAATAAAAATTTTGGGTGGTCAATCCTTAAGCGGGACACACTGTATATTGATCACATTTGCGTGAGCCATTTTTGATAAGTTCTTAGCTTAAATTATAAATAAAATGCAAAAAAAAATTATACAGATTTAAATCTATTGATCCTTATGAAATTACTTTGCAAATTATTTATAATTTAAGCTAAGATATGTCAAAAATGACTCACACAATCGCATGTGATCAATATAGATATATTTGGAATCAGGACGAAACGATCTTTCATTTCATCGCATAATATACAGGGTGTCCCATTAAAAAAAGTTGAAGCTGTCTAGGTTTTTCCATTTTCCGATGCGATTTTGTTTTTTTCTGAAACCGTTTAAAGGAAATATAGAGAAAAACTGTCTTTTTTTTGTATTTATTTTTTTTTTCCCATCCTAATAGTAAAGACTGCGGGGATGGGCTTAAATATTATCGAATAGCCTCTACATGCGAGTTCGTTGAAGCATATTATATGTATATATAGTATATAGAGCAACACTTTAAAATTATCAATTATTATAGGTGTAGTCTGTCAAACGGAACAGAACTTAATGAAGGAGATTTTATCAGATTATATGGAAACACCGTACCCAAGACTGCTGATGTAGTTTTTATAGTCGAAGCCAAGAAATGTAATAAAGACTTGAAAAATCATAAAAACTTCAATACTGTTGTCGAGTCAATAAACCAAGAACTTTTAGAGTTAAACATAACAAACAACAGGTAATTTATGCAAAAAAATGCCACTATAAATTTAATAATAAATTATGTTTTCAGATATGCCGTTGTTGCTTTTGGAGGAAATGGGGTTTTCAATGCGCCCAGAAGTATTGTTATCAATTCAAAAACTTTTACTGATTCCAAGTCAGTTTTAAAGTATTTCGATATTCCAGTTGGTGAGTTTGTTTTAATGCATCACAAATAAGTCCTGGAATAAAAAAAATGTGTTTATCTAAAAATGTTTACATATTTAGCAAAAATTAACATTTTTTCTTTCATACTTTTCATTAGGTACTTTTCTGTTTGAATTTCTACTTGAAACATATTTAAAAATTGTATAATTACTTAAACAAGAAATGAAAAACCTCTATGTCTTGAGCTATACCCTACGTAGAAAATATAAATATATGTATCAAAAGAATGAGAAACCATTCAAAAAACAAAACATTTTTCACTTTAAATCTGTCCATGTTTGCTCGTATTCTTATTACTTTTTATAGTTTGGTAAATGATTTTTGTTTAAACCTGATCAAGTACCTATATGAAAGACTCCTCAATTACTTATAGGAAACGGAGAACCAGACATATACAGAGCTATATCTTTCGCGAGCAAGCTGATGTTCAGGCCAGAAGCGTCTAGGAACTTCATATTGCTTCCATGCTCAGGATGTTATGAACAGAATTTGCAGGTAAGTTACACAGAGGGTCAACCAAGTATTTGAATGTATGGTTGTATGCATCTTAATTTGGAATAACAAGTGCAATGGTTTATAGACTTGGATCCTATATAAATACATTTAGGTGCTCATTATGGTAATGGAGCACGATTTGGATAAAATATGATTCTGTGCACAGTGCGTTCAAGTATATATTTTTAATGTGCTCGTAAGGAAATATTTTAATCGTGCATGTGGAAAATAATTCTTGGAAAGATGCTGAAGCCCAAGCAGCACTCCCATGTTGGGCCAATATTGGGACATTAACTACGATATATTGGCCCAAGTCAGATTCTCTTTGTTGGCCCAATAAAAGATGTGGACATTCTGCAATATTTGTTCAAGAACGTATGTCAATATATACCCAAAAACAAATACCAATGTTGGTACAATAACGTAACCAAATGTTGGCCCAAAAAGAAATAATCAATATCATATCAAGAACTTTATGCAATATAGAGCCAACTGAAATTACCAATATTGGCCCTAAGACGTATGTAAATCTTGGCTTTTTATTATATTTAATTAAGGTAACGGACCAGTTATAAGTACCGACTGAGAAGTGTTTTCTCTCTGCCGGACCATCCGTGGACCCGTTTCGCTGTGTCACAACTCATCAGCACGGTTAAGTCCCGCCAGGGTCCCGCAGAGAGAAAACAACCAATTTTTGGCTTCATTCCGGAACCAGGTTTAAGACAGGTAAAGTGAAGACAGAGCCTCCATCTATTTGTTGGTCGGCACACCAAGTGCGCACATTGTATACCCTATATTGGACCAACATTTTCAATACAGAAAATCTAACCTTGGTAAAAATTAGTACGTAAATATTGGCCCTCTATTGGGCTTTTCAAACAGTATCAATATTGTGAAAAAATTGAAAATAAATAATGGGTGTACAAAGTTTTTGAAGTGAATTTAAATATCAATAAAAAATTGAATGCCAATAATGAATTAATATTATATTACAATATTGTTTCGAAAATATAAAATGTAATATTTGGCCAATATTTCATAAATCAATATTGTAGTGAGAAGTCTTGGGCCAATATGCAAATTATTGAAAAGTTAATTAATCTATGAAAATAATATTGGTACAAGATTATTTTTAAATATTGTTTCCACATAGGTAAAACTAACGTTACCCCAATATTGGTACTGTGTTGATTAAGCAACAAAAATGAATAAGTATTGGCCCAACTGAAAAACGATGTTTACCCAATATTATGTGCTACTTGGGAGGTTTTCACACTTTATCTGTTGCGTAGATAAACACTATATTTCATTGCAATTACATCTAAACAATAATAGTCACATAATATTATTTTTATTGTATTTTTTTTTTTTTCAAATAACATTAACAAAAATTGTCAGGGACGCCTAATGAACTCCACAAACAAATGTTCCATGAATGTGGGATAAAAATTCTCAGGTAAAAAAGAGCCCCAACAGTGAATGGCTAAAATACGATTTGCTGATCAGTGGACTTCGAACTTACACAACCTGCAGACATGGCGCCCCCAAGAAACCGTAAGGTATGCTCATTGCAAAAAAGCAGTGAGGGGCAGCTGTCTGTCGATTTCTTGCGGCTCCTTCTGACCTGGTTTGGCAAGGGTTGCTCCAGGTCTGATTTATCCTGAATTCACTGAGCAGGCTTCCACAATCCACATGGAATGCATTAAAAAAAAATCCCTTGAAGTTGTGCCCCCTGTTTGAATTTCAAAAATCCTTCCATCGGCCCAGGTGCCACCTTTCCCCTAGATATTAGTGGTGATTACTCAAAGCCCAATCCTGGAAGCCGAAGCTTTCGGTGTGTGACATCATGGAGAAGTTACTCCATATACAATCACAAAAAACCGGTCTTCTTTGCCAAGATTAGTCAACGTAATCGCGACGTTCACAAAAAAATAAATGTTAATAATTAATTATTAGTGACATATCAGTTGAGGAATCGGAGAAGATTCATTGACAATAACCAGATGAATACCGATGCAGGCATCTCCAGCGCGTCTGAAACAACTTCGCGATACTTAAGAGGAACTACCACTTCGACTTGCTGGCGGAAAGAAAACTCTAGTTCTAAGGAAGGGCAAAGGTGCTGTTACAATATCTACGAGAAACCTGGTGCTTTCACCACCTCATACTGGCACCGCTCGATATTGTGAACTTAAAACCTTTTTCAAAACCACATATAGTTTCTAGCTCTGATAGATGGAGGTGGGGTTGTGCTCGGCTCTCCATTTCCAGACTATCCGCATATTACCAATAATGTGCATCACAAAAAAGTTCTTCACCACCCTTATGAGTAAACGTTCAAATCATACGGTGGAATCCTGGACTAATAAAAGGCATATCATATCACCATTTTTTTTCCTTGAATTCTCAAATTCCTTTATTTCAAAATGAAAGATGCTGTGTTATTTTTATAATTTAACACAGTTCAATCCTAAAACTACACTAAATAGTTCAAACTCTTGAACCAAGTGTGAGTAGGTACATATTCTGAAAAGTCCATAATAATTATTAAATGTGCAGAAAAAAAAATGTGCGTCCCTTCATCGATTTCAATCAGTTGTATCAATACCCTGCTTTCTCATAATTGGCCTCAAATATTAATATTTTAGTATTGGATATCAAAAAAAAATAAACTGTTTCCCTACCGTATATTAAACATTAACATACTGAAATGGTGCGTTTGTGTGAAGTACGAGCCATCACCGACCAATAAGGATCGTTCACAGTAGCTCTGACGCACATCTTTGATGCTTTCCTTGTCTTAGCTCTGAAAAGTGACAATGATGATAATCGTCGTTCTTTAATGCATGTTAATCATTCATTCAGCACGCTATCTAGCATAAACTAATTATTTGTCAGATTTGTTAATTTTTGATTGGTGGAGGTGGAGATTCTGACGTCATAATCGCCGAGGGCTTGGACATTTGAAATTCTGTCTCAAAAGTAGAAAATTATATTTTTTTATAGTGGACTAAAGACAACTCGAATGTTACATAAAAAATGCCTAGTTCTCCTTATTGAGGGTCAAGTGAGGCATGTTGGACTCATTTAGCATACATATCAGATTGGAGATGCTATCGCTGTAGATAAAAAATCAGTTCTTGTGCCTTCAATTCGCTTTCTTCAGAGAGATTCAAAAATTCTCACAACTGAAACTTGCTCCATTTTGGCTGTTTGCTGTCGTATATTTACCATGGAATACTTCTGCATCTTGCTGGAAATTTGTTTTTTTTTTTTTAAATCCTGAATTCTGTGGCGAAGTGCGAAGTAAAATTTCCAAATAGAACACGACAGAATGTTCTAGTAAAATTACTCTGTGAACTTGTTTTTCAATGTCGGAACCATTGATGAAGTTATTTTTCTTGTATCACCCAGCTCTGAAATGGAATTCTATAGGGGTTTCTAGAATTCTCAAGAAAAACCGTTTGTGAACTTGTTCTACTAATAAATTCACTGTCCTTGTATCACTGGCGATTGACATATTAATAAAAAAACTAAGACAGAAATGACTAATAGGCGTTCTTAATATGACTTTGACAGCTGTGACCTTGAGCCACTATAGTGGCTACTGGTCTTATTTGAAAAAATATAAGCCTGATGTTCCAATGGCCACTATAATGGCCATAAATAAACTAAGACTTTTTAAAAGAAAATATATTTTTAAGGAAATACAAAGAAAACTTTAAACAAAAATCATATTTTTAGCTTTATTTTGTGTGCCATATCTTAAAACACGGATGAATGCATAAACCTATGGGCTTCCATCGCACTTGGGCATTGGTATCTGGTGCTTTTTCTTATGTTATTTCTGGAACATTGTTGGCACCTCAGTTGGCACCGTTTGGAGGGCGTTGAATTTTGTGTTTTTTTCGGGATTGGTTCTAGCGTTGTTCTAGGTAATGAAACTAATTCGGATCAGGATGCATTGCAGTTTTTTCAGTTTTTCCGTATTTCTATTTACTTCAAATATTTTGATAATCCCTCGGATAATCCATTTCTCCGAAGGTTTGTGAAGCAGTTTGCGACTCCAGAATGCACAGAAGCTGCCTAAATCGAACAAGACACTTATTCAGCGCAAGTGGAAATAAACCACTACTGCAGGTACTACATGGCCAATATAGTGGCCATGGTTGGTGGGGGCATTTTGCCAACCCTCTCTGTGTATCACACAACTGAATAAAACCTTCTAATTTGTACCGCGGCAATTCAATACTCGTTTAAAATACTTCAAAAAACCGGCCACTATTGTGGGCGCGGTACATTTTTACAACATTTTGTGGCCATTATAGTGGCCAGTCGTATTCAGCGTGTTAATTGTGTTGTTGCTAAATGATCCCACTAATTAGCTCAAATTAATGCACCATTTGCTAATAATCGCACTTCTGACACCGACTTGTCCCGGATTCTAGGCCCCAAACATTTTTTATTGAACAAAATTAATTTAAGAACAATTCAATTCACTTATCTATTACCTATCGAAACGAACACAACAAAACTTGCATTTGAATTGAATCCCAAATTACTCCAACGCGCTATTTATAGACGACACCGCACTCCGGATTTTACTAGAAGTATTGTTTTCTCGAATACAATAAAATTTCCAGAATATTCGCGCCCGTATATAACTGGGCTCCTAGAATTCTGGCCGAACAATCGATTCAATTTCGGCACAATACCTATGTACATTAAAAAAAATAAAAATTACTACCTGTCGGATCCGAATGGATTGAGCTATTTGCTTTTACGAAAAAATAGGCGAATTCTTGAAAGGCCATTATTTAGCTGTTTTAGAGGTTGACTTGGCCATGAATAAATAAGGTGCTCAGAGCTTTCCCTAGGGAAAGACATCATTCAGTACATTGAAGTGGGCAATTGATTATAGTGATTGATTTAACCGAGCATAAAAGCGAACTACTCCGCTTTCTCAAGTCACGTAAATGCCCGAGAAGTCGGATTGTTAG